CCCAGCTTTGAAACCAGAACTTCAAGGGCAGTGCAGAGAGGTCAGTCCCCTGGTCCTTGGAGTGGCAGAGCAGGGCATGAGGCTGCTGAGCCCCTTCGCTCAGCCTCTGAACCAGCTGTGATTCTGATCCTCCCAGTGTGTTGAACAGATATCCTTATATTCTGTATGAGCCACAGCTTAAGAAAAGTTGGGCAGTCCTACCTAAGGGAGATAGCAGTACCTTGGAACTATGATGGGATGAGGATAGATACTGTTGTCCTTAAGAGTCAGGGTTTTGAGTTACAGATGGCAGAAACTTATTCTATCTAATTTACCCCACATCTGAATGTCTGGGGCTATCCATGTGAAATCGATTGTTGGACCAAGCTACTACACCTTTGAAAGCACTTTCTGTATCAGGCACTGATCGTAGTTTTTAAGTATACAAAGACAATCTTCTCTTACAGGAAACTCCTTCCATATCAATAGTTTAAGATGTTGGATCATGGCTGGTTTCTATCATACTGTAGATAAAGGGGAGGCTCTGTTTATCTCTGTTGACTGGTTAGGAATTGATTATTTGTAGACAGTCTCACCAAAGGGGAAATTATGATCACAAATTTGTAATCTATCTTGATCAATATTTTAATCTCTTAGCTTCTGAAAATCTCCACAGGCCATTTGTAGTATCACTTCCTTCCTTTTGCCCTTTCTCTTTACTGCCCATGGAAGCTGTTGCGGGGTTTTGAAAAAAATCCACGTTGCTCTCATGTCAAGCATTTGCCTGTTGTTTTGTCATTAAAAATAACTGAGTGTGTAGTGACAAGTTGCCTTTAGAGTTTAGGTTTTTGGGGCCCTTGAGAAAGAGAAGTAAAATGAGAAGAACTAGTCCTAATAGAGGTTCTTACTTAGAGAAAGTGAATGGAGGAAGAAGAAATGCTGGGGGGTAGGGGGTGGGGCGTGGGAAGAAAAGAAAGAAAGAAAATGCTCATATCTGCAAATAGCCAGAGGTAGCTTCTCTGAAGTATTGCAAAAGCTGTCTTTCTGTCTCTCCTTGAATCTCACCCTTGACTGACTCTCTGGGCTCTTCCTTCTCCTCCCATGACTGCCTTGGGAGTTCATCTCGAAGTGATCATTCTTCAGAGATTGGGGAGCCCTGCTGGAGGAGCCCATGTAACTTGATCTTACCCTACACCCCCTGTCACCAGTTTTAGGCTCTGAGTCATCTCTTCTTAGGCTGTGAACTTTTATAGAATTGTTTAGTGCGTATTGTTGGTGGACGATTAGAATATATGCTTGGACAGTGTTCAAGATAGTCACAGATGCTTTTGAAATGTGGAGTGTGTTCACACCTAACTTATGTAAGCCACATTGTGTTGCATTTGTGTGCTTGTTCATTTATGCAGGAAATGTCCTTTAAAGGCCCCAAATTATTTTTGTTTAAATGTGAATGTAGTGCTGAGAATCTCTGTGTGTGTGTGTGTTTATATAAATACCTATTTTCGAGGAAACCGTTTGAGTAAGCTTTAATTGTCATAATAGATTTTATCTGCCTGCAGAGGTTAGTGAGCCACTGTCCCCTCAAATTGAGCTTTTAGGGGCACTTGGGTAGCTCAGTTGGTGAAGTGTCTGCCTTTGGCTCCAGTCATGATTCAGAGTCCTGGGATAGAGCTCCACGTTGGGCTCCTGGCTCAATAGGCTTTGCTTTTTCCTCTGCCTCTGCCCCTCCTTCTGCTTGTGTTCTCTCTCTAGCTCTCTCTCTCTCTTTCTCATGAATAGTTAAAATCTTTTTTTTTTGAATAGTTAAAATCTTAAAAAAAAATTAAGCTTTAGAATAAAGGGCCAATTTTGGTGTTTTTCTTTGGATGATTTTTACAGTGATTCTTTGTTCTGTTATTGTCCTGCCTTTGATCCTGGTGTGTTTTCAGATTTTTACCATATAGAGATCGTGGTGTTTTCACGATCCTTTCACACACCACGTGAAAGGTGGTCACCTTTTGATTTGGGGGATTTGTGGGCATTGAGTTCATTCAGGTTTATGATTACAAAGGTCCTTACCTTAATTTTATCTCTAGAAACTCTGCCCTATAAAGTAACATTCATAGGTCCCAGGGATTGATTAGGACCTGGTATCTTTGAAGGCCACCATTTTCACTTACATCTCACTTACAGTACGTATCTGTCCCGTGTACCAAGTACATTCACCCTGCTCCAGTGTCCCCCCAGAGCCTTAGCTCATTATAGCATCAGCTTGAATCCAGGTCTGATCTAGACACCATCAGTTCCACAGGGTCTAGTCTGCTCATCAGAATCATCCAAGTCAGGTATGAGTGAGACAGAGTATGATCCATTGTGACATAAAATTCCTCTCCCTCTGTACTGGAAACAAGACCGGGTTACTTGGTTCCAAAACACAGGGGTCAGGCATTGGAAACCAGTTTTAGAGATACCCATTCAAAACAGGAGAACAATGAAGGAAGAAAGGAGGCAGCAGTTCCAAGGAGTTTCCAAATCCAGCAGGGCAGTTTCCTTTCAGTTGCAGGGCCTGGGGACGGTCTTCTGCTGTTCAATATTTCCTTTTTTGTTGTAGTTGTTGTTGCTTGCTCTTCCTTTTTTTTTTTTTTAAACAATTTTATTTTTTATTGGTGTTCAATTTGCCAACATACAGAATAACACCCAGTGCTCATCCCATCTACTGGGGGTAAATGGGTGACAGGCGCTGAGGGGGGCACTTTCAATATTTCCTGAAGACAAATTTCTAAGAAGTGAAAGAGCATCTTCATGAAAAGTTTTTTCTTGTATATTGCTGAACCTTTCATCAGAAAAAATTATGCTATTTCCTTTTTTACCAGCAACATTTTGTACTAGTGATTTTTTTTACCTGGTCACATTATCATTGGAAAAAAATTGGTCTATGTATAAAATGAGACCTAAGTTTTGCCAATTTTGCATGAACAAAACTTTTTAAAAAAGATTTTGTTTATTTGAGAGAGAGAGAACAGGTGCCTAAGAGGGGGGTTGGGAAGGGGCAGAGGCAGAGAGAGAGAGAATCCCAAACAGACTCCCCACTTGGGAGCGGAGCTTGATGTGGGACTCGATCCCAGGACCCCTAGGATCATGACCTGAGGCGAAGGCAGACGCTTAGACTAGACTGAACCACCCAGGAAGCCCCTCACATGAACAAAACTTTAAACTGTTTTGTTGTTAGTGAATGCCTTTCATAATTTTTTCTCAGTTTTGCTTTACTGTTCATACCCTTGCCAATTTTTCTATTTTTCTTGATTTGTGTGATGTCTTTATATATTTAAAGTTCTTCTCATTTTGTATTGGAAGGATTTTCCCCAGCTTTCACTTAAAATTTGTTTTTTTAGATTTTTTTTTGGTAATATACAGTTTGCTTTTTTTTAATAAATTAATTTTTTATTGGTGTTCAATTTACCAACATACAGAATAATACCCAGTGCTCATCCCGTCAAGTGTCCCCCTCAGTGCCCGTCACCCACTCACCCCCCCCCCCCCTCCCCTTCCACCACCCCTAGTTCGTTTCCCAGAGTTAGGAGTCTTTATGTTCTGTCTCCCTTTCTGATATTTCCCACACCAGTTTGCTTTTTAATACAGCCAAATTTGCTGCAAAACTTTGCTTTTTTGTAGACCCAAATTTGCTGTTTAAGAAGAGTACCTTTTGCATGTATAGGTTGAATGCCCTTCCTCTACTTGCTGCCAAATAAAACTTAGTTTAAAATAAATATTTGGTACCTGTATTGAGCGGGTTACATGGAAAATTCATGTTGTAATATTCTTACTTCTGAAAATGATGTGTCTGGTCTTCTTGGGAATTCTCATTATCCTGTAGACAGGCCCATTCCTGAGAGCTGATCCGGGAGTCACAGCCAGGAGCTCTCTGCTCTTATCCTACGGTCCTGTCCAACTGGTATGTTTGGCAAACTCAAACTTGCAAATCTCATTGAAAGCACCAGGCTGAGCAGAATGAGTCCCTTCATACATCTTCCAAATCCACTGGGATGGGAAAGTATTTGGATTGCAGAGGTGTTGTTGGAGAAGGTAGAATTAGGCATAATAAACTGTGAAGAGTGTATTCTGGAAAAAGATATACTACAGTGCTTAAAAACCCAATTCTGTAACAAAGCCTCTATTCAGTAAAATCCCAAAGAAATGTTTTTATAAGATTTATAGACATAGAAGAAACATGGTCAGTGGGTAAAGCATGTTAAAAAACATATTGTGATCTGATTTTAATTGTAGAGAAAAAAAATGTGTATGCATAGAAAGTAGTTTCTAGGAGACAATGATTATTTGGGGATAATTGGACTTAGAAATGTAAAAAAAAAAAAACCCCATATATTCTGTAGTAGTATATAATATTTTGTATATTTATATTGTCTTTTATCTTTTCTGAATTTTCTATACCGGGCAAGTTTTGTTTGTATAATATAAAACACTGTTACCTTCCCTCCCTACTCCCTATCCCAAAGAAATGGCTCCAAATAAATGATTATTTGAAATCCCTGTGTTATGAACTTGGTTGACAGTGCCGTGATTTTTTTTTCTTTTAGTTATGATTGCAGACTGCTTCAGATTCTTCACTAGTTGTTAATATTGTATTTGAGGGAAAATCATTTTTATTAAATAAAGATGTTGAAGTGTAACCCTGGAAAGGTGGTAATATTTTAGTATTTTTCAGCGTATCTGCCAAAGTGAATGATTTTTATAGTGGTGTTTTCTTTTGCAAAAGTGTTACCATCTCTGAATGATATACACCTGAAGCATTATTTTCTATTGATTTGGAGGATAATGGGTGATTTGTGGTTAATAATAACTTTAGATCCTTTTTATTTACTTTATCTTAAAGCTGAGAAATTCTTTGTTGCCTTTCAAAATATGATATTAACTATATGTTAAAACAAATTTTTTCTGCTTTTTGGTGTGAATTTCTTATGCCCTCAGATTAGTGTCTGTTTTATAGTACTTGAAACTTTTACTTTTTATTTGTTATTTCTTAGGTAAACGCAAAGCACTGAAGTTGAATTTTGCAAATCCACCTTTCAAATCTACAGCAAGGTTTACTCTGAATCCCAACCCTACAGGAGTTCAAAACCCACACATGTGAGTATTCCTGGTAATCAACTAAAAGGCTCAACTCAAGCAGAAGTTTTAAAGTTATTGTATTTTACGAATTTTTCCAAGTCGAGGGATTGGTATTTCCATTGTCTTATGGGCCATTTGACACTTGGTCTTAGCCAAAAGGCTGAGAAGAGATCTTTTATGGGCCATTTGAAATAATTACTACTTGAACTTAATTAGAAAGCTATTGATTCTGTGGTCTGAAGTAGGTGAACACAATTTTCTTTGTTAAAGTTTACTTGAAGGGGAAAAGAGCTGAAGATCCAGATGTATTAGTATCTTTTCAATTTTTCTCTTGCTGAACTCTGAGAATATTGTTTAGACCTACCACCTTCTGGATCTCCAGTTAAATTGAAAGTGGTATTTAGGAAACATTACTCTCCTCTGTAGATCTGCACAAATCATCCCCACTTACCAGGTGATAAAGTAGAGTGTCATTTACCCTTTCTGGATAAATGACATTCCTGTAAGATTTCCATGTCACAGTAAATTGAGAGAACATGTACATGTTGGTGTATAGGTGTCAGTGATTACTTTTAAAATGTATTCTATATATATATATTTATTTATTTATGTATGTGTGTATTTTCCCTTAATATTTTTTATTAAAATACAAAAATGATATTTTAGCATCTTGCTGAAGGTCAAAGTGTTAAGAAACATCTGTTAATTTAAAATAATACCTTCAGAATGATATTTATAGATCTCTTGAACTGCAGTGATGTATTAAATAATGATGCCTCCCCACTACCCCCCAAGACCTATCATGAACCCAAACAAGTCAAAGCCAGTGGGTTTGCATTTATACTCATGTTCATAAAGATAATTTTTACCTAGTTCTGGTATCAAGAACAATAAAGCAAATGGTGGAATGTGTTTTAAAAAAATGGTCAGAATATATCATCTTGTAGTTTTTAATAATTATAACAAAATAATTTTTATTCAAGCCTAATTAGACTACAAATATATTCATGCTTCCCCCCAAAGGCACACTTCTTGCTGTTTCCTTTCCTCATGATGTCTGACATGCATTGTATTTACAAACAGTAACAAATTTGTAGAAGGCAGTGTGTCTCACAATAGGAATGCTGAAAATATATTGTGATTTTTAAAACATCGGTGTGTAGAAGGGAGCAATGTGGATGTGTGTGTATATGTGATTAGGCTTTCGCCTGTAACTTGAAAGCAATAAAAAACTGAAGTAACAGTTCATTTGCCTGGGAATAGTGTTTGCTAATTTTATTAGACTGGTGTTCATAATGAGATTTGTTGTCGGAGCTCAGCTTAGAGTCCTAGCCTTTTTATCTCCTCTGAAACATCAAGTGGGGGCTATACTGAGGAAGGAAACTCTTAGTACCTCTTAATTAGTCAAAGCTCTGGTGGCAAGGAAACATTCTTAAAAGAACCTCCTTCCTCATTTCCTAGAATTTCTAGTGAAAGCTAGTACAAAATAATTCTTGAACATGGTCCATGTCTATTACCTTGGTTGCTAGCTGAACCACATATAAAGGAAACGTAGTTATTGCCAAACTTAGTAGCTCGCTCTTTTTTTCTCTTTTCTCCTTCCTTCCTTCCTTCCTTCCTTCCTTCCTTCCTTCCTTCCTTCCTTCCTTCCTTCCTTCCTTCTTTCTTTTTTTAAAAGTCTCCTTTGACACAAGGACAACCTGACTTAGATTTAGAACTGCAAAAACATTGATATCATTTGTACCCTCTTCCTTTGAGAGTATCATGTATTAGGGAATTCATGGACAAATCTTTTTTTCTTTTTCCTGAACAGTAAACTGGGTTAAAAAAAACCTTTTTTCCAAAATTTGAGTTGATTTTTTTTTTTTTTTATTCTACCACTTCATAATATTCCTATAACCAGCTAGGTTTCCTATCCTTTGTCAATTCCCAGCAGATGTTAAAAGTTTGAGAGGACATGGTAATCATTTTTACTTTATGGTAGAATCTTTTGATTTTGATATGTTAAAATGTTAGACCCAGACTTTGAATTTTATGGCACTGGTCTGTTACTATGTGTATCAGGGACAGGTAACTATTGGTTGAAGATAATTGTTTCACTACTCAGGGTAGCATATCTCCTCTACTCCCCTACCCCCTTTCATAAAGGGATCTTTTTGTCTTCTTCCTCTGAGTTGTACCGTCAGGCACTAAAAACCACTGTCAGTCACTGTTTAGGGTAGGTAGTTTGCAATTAAAAAATATAACTTGCAGTATGTGAGTGTTTGAAAAAAGATACCTCTGTGTCACTTATATGTATTTCCTTCCTCTAAAATTTCCTTGAACTTTAGAGATATAAATAGAAAACTTGCTCATAAATTTTGAAAAGATATGATGAAATGTAAGCAACTAATGAAGTTAAGATATGCTCCAGGAACTACTTTCACATCCATCTAGCATTTGATGTCTCCTGGGTGCAGATTCTGTAGACATTTTAAAATTTTAAGACCATGTCTTATCTTCTGAGAACCAACAGTTTAAATAAAATTCTAAGAAATAACAGTTGGGTATAGCAATTCAAGAAGTGAGGCATAAGGTAATACAGATTGAATGTCAAATGAATGGTGCAGGTGGGGGTAATAAGATCACTTTAGGATAAACAACTTGGGTGAAACATTTCACAGAAGAACAAGATTTGAATTGGATTTTGAAAGCCACTTTGAGAGGGGAGAATAGCATTCTGGTGTGTTGAAATACAAGATAAGTTTAGGGGACTATGTGTAGATCTGTTTAATTATAGCAGAGATATTACTTACAGATTACCAATTTCTATCCCTGGAAACAGCAATTTTTTCTTTATTCTTGGTGTTCTGTAGTTATATGAAGATAGATCTAGGTCTGGATCATCCTTCTGTGCACAGAAGAACCATTTTAGTTTGAAGATTTATGTATCTGTTTCTGAGAAAATTTCTGCTTTTGATTGATTCCTTCATGTTTTTCCTAGTCTTCTGTTGTTTGGACATTGGACGTTCTAAATTTCTTGGGTCTTTGACTTTTTTTTTCATACTTTTTATCTCTCTGTTTTCTATATCCTAGGTCTGTCTGTTTCCTTCCTTCCTTCCTTCCTTTTTTCTTTTCTTTTCTTTTCTTTTCTTTTCTTTTCTTTTCTTTTCTTTTCTTTTCTTTTCAACCCTTGTGTGACTAGGGTGGGGAGGGGGGTGAGGGAGGGGCAGAATGAGAAGGAGATAGAATCTTATTAAGCAGGCCCCATACCCAGGACAGATGAGCATGATGCCATGCTCAGTCTCAAGACCCTAAGATCATGACCTGAGCCAAAGTCAAGAGTTGGATGCTTAACCAACTGAGCCACCTAGGTGTCCATTTTTTTTTTCTGATCCTTTAATGAAATATTCTATTTTGGTAGTCGATTTTAACTTATGGATGTAAAATCTAGAATTTTAAAGTTCTTTTTTATCTGCTAGGCAATTTGTTTCTTCAAGGGTCAGTTTTTCATTTATCTTTTCTTCATTGTATAATTTTTTTTTCATGTGTCTTTTAATTCTTGGTTGTCCATTGATAGTTGAGGATAAGAAGATTAGAAAGCTGATTGGTAGCTCTGGTATAGGTGGTCAACTGGTGGACTTGACCACTTCTCTGTGAATGGTTTGAGAGCTGGCTCTTAGGCCAGGAATATTCAGATGCCAGGAGGAGTAGGGCCAACATTCACCCTAGAAGGCCTTCTTTTATCTAAATAGTATGTTTCTTTTCCTTAAAGACATGCTCTCTTTCTATTTTAGGGGAAAGGTAGAGAGAAAGGGAAGAACTTACTAGACCTTTCTTATAGAAAGAATTTCAATGAACTCTTCTGCTTCTGGACATTCATGCCTTCGACTTTGCATCCTCTCTATGGTTCTGCTGGGACCATTGTTAATTTCTCGTCTCTGCTGCATGTTCCCCTCGTACTATGTGTTATGGGTGGGACTTTTCTCTATTACTGTTTCTTTTCTTTTCTTTTTTTCCTTTAAGGGAAATTCTCTATCTCTCTCTCTCTCTCTCTCTTTTTAAGATTTTATTTATTTATTCATGAGAGAGAGAGAGAGAGAGAGAGAGAGAGAGAGAGGCAGAGACACAGGCAGAAGGAGAAGCAGGCTCCATGCAGGGAGCCTGACATGGGCCTTGATCCCAGGTCTCCAGGATCACGCCCTGGGCTGAAGGTGTCGCTAAACCGCTGAGCCACCCGGGCTACCCTCTCTCTCTCTTTTTATTAAGTGATGGGCAGGGTTCAAGTTTAAAGAAGATGAAGTGATTTTTGTGTTTTTTTTAAGATTTGATTTTTAAGTAATCTCTGCATCCACTGTGGGGCTCCAACTCACAACTCCAAGATCAAGAGTTGCATACTCCACTGACTGAGCCAGCCAGGTGCCCCATTACTGTTTTTTTTTTTTTTTAACTGCTTATTATGATAAGTTGCAAATATATCCAGGACTAGACAGTGATAGATGATTCTGTACCTATTTATCAATCAATTTTAGAAGCTCCAGTAGTTAATGTGGCTAGGATTGGTTTTATCTGTTCCTCTATCTTCCTTCTTTTTAACCAAACCTCAGAGATTTTTCTACCTATAAATATTTTGATATGTATTTCTAAAAGATAAGGACTCCTTTTTATTTATTTTTATTTTTTTAGATTTTATTTATTTATTCATAAGAGACACAGAGAGAAGCAGAGACATAGGCAGAGAGAGAAGCAGGCTCCCCCTGGGGACCCCGATGTGGGACTTGATTTCAGGGCCCTAGGATTGTGACCTGAGCCAAAGGCAGATGCTTGATCACTGAGCCACCTAGGTGCCTCAGACAGAGCTCCTTTTTAAAAACATAATCACAATACCATTATTACATCTAAATAATAAGTAAGATTAATAATTCTTTAATGTCGGGCAGCCCCGGTGGCTCAGCAGTTTTGTGCTGCCTTCAGCCCACGGCCTGATTCTGGAGACCCGTGATCAAGTTCCACGTTGGGCTTCCTGCATGGAGCCTGCT